TACTTATTAGTTTTTATGTATTTATACTTAGTTCTGATTTGACGAACCAAGTCAACCCCAATGTTAACACTACCAAACCAACTAAAAAAAGATAAAAATGGAGCCCAAGTTTTAAATATATTATCAAAAACGATATTGAAAATTAGGACAATAAAATACCAAAAAAAGATTATCTTATTGATTACTTTGCGCAATAAACTACGGGTCGAATGACCCGGAGCCACCCGGTTTATATAAATACCCCTACTCCGTAAATCTTTACTCATTTCCCCGGTTTTTCACGGGTTATGTTTTCGCATTTGCACTCAGACCGCTAACCAACGAAGGAAGAGTAGGAAAAAGAGAGCACCAATTATTCACCACATTTTATTCCAAAACCACTCCTTTAAATATTCTAGGTTAAAAATATATCTGGCATCACTAAGTAAAAAAAAGGGACCTCAAAAATTTCCTCCAGCCAACGGTTTATCATTTAGACTTGTCCCCAAATTTTCCCTGTTTTTTGCTGCTCTACTAAGATTTGCATTTTCCCACTTTTTTCCTATGTCCTCCATGCTACCCCAATTCACTCCTTCTCTACGCATTAGCACAAAATTGTATATTCAACCAATAAATTGGGATAAAGTAATCAAAGGCATAAAACCTAAACTTAAACGAAATCCTAATTTGGTCTTGTTTTTTTTTAATATTTGGTTGTCTTGACTATAAAGAGTGTTAGTCTCGACTGGTGCTTCTCACTTCAAATTAGTTATTCAAATAAAGAAAACGGTAATTAATACTAAGTAAAGCATAGGTTCAGGTCTTTTTCAATTTTCAGCAAGCCAATTATAAGGAAGAAATTCAGTGAGTAGAATTAGGTTAAAAGCGTTACATATTCCGTACTGATTCATTAATTGAATAAGTAATTCTAATAAACAACAATTAATTACTGTAACAATTAAAACCAAGAGCAAAATATGACCCAAACCACCTGCTTTGACATTTCCTCAGTAACTTAGAAAACCAAACATTACTGAACCAAGAAAAACTAGAGCCCGATTGATTCAAAACCTTAACTTCTTCATTTTAACCTGATCCATCTTGTCAGGGTTAAGAAAAATGAAAAAGAATTGCAAAACAAAACTGACTTGCAAATGAACCGTAACCCCAGAAAGAAAAAGTTTTCTTTCAACTGGAAGTTTGCCATCGCTTGCTGACTTCATTCATTGGTTTGGAAAAGAAATAACTTTGGCTCCCAAGAGGTAAACCAATAAACCGAGCAAACTAGCCAAGCAAGTGAAAAAGAAAATCCGATATTGGCGACTAACTCTCTTTTTTTTGATATTATGAGCCATAATTAATTATCATTATTGAGCATCTGTGGTAGTTTCGGCCTGAATAAGTTCCTTTAACTTTCTTAATAAATCAACTTGTTTTTGTCCGTTCGGCAACCACTTTTCTTTTAATTCTTTGGACTCAATAAGTTTTTTCACATAGTTTCTAAAATAATTTATGCTAAATTCTTGCTCCCCAACCATTACTTTCCATTCTTCGGATCCAGTTTTTTTCCTCGGTTGGGAAAATTCAGCATTTTGAAAAATTTTAACAATCTTATCAAGTCGAATGGCAGTTATGGTTTGGAATTGACCACCGGCTTTGGTAATTTTTTCTTGAGCCTCCTGAGAAAAATCTGCTGCGTGGATAATTAAATTTTTAGTAAGTTCCCCTTCTCCTAATATTTTTACTTTAGGTAAATGTATTTCCTGCCCCTTCACTACCTGTTCATCTCTTTCTAAATTTGCTAAATTAATTATTTGATAAGCAGTTTTGGAAGCGGTTTTAAATCCTCCACCTCGCTTGGGAAAACGGAGATAAACTTTAGTTTGCCCTCCCTCAAAACCAGGCGGAGTGCCACCTCCCGTGCGTGCCGTTTGTCCTTTACCACCGCGACCGCAAGTTTTCCCCCTTCCTGAACCAATTCCTCGGCCAACAATTTTTTTTTTCTTAACGATAGTAGTTAAATAATTATTAATATTCATATTTTTTTCCAGTTAATTTATCTAAAGCTAAAAAAGCGGCTCGGACAACATTTAGTTTATTTCGTGAACCAATTATTTTGATACTAACATCTTTAATTCCTAAATATTTAAACAGAATGCTAAGTGTTTCACTAGCCTTAATACCACTTCCGGAAGGAGTAGGTTTTAGAATCAACCTCGTTGCTTTGTAGTCAACTACTATATCACGAGGGATAGTACGGGATGGAGTAGAGAAATGAGCAATTAATTCTTTTTGAGTCTTGCGGTAGGCTTTTTCACGAGGGATAGTACGGGATGGAGTAGAGAAATGAGCAATTAATTCTTTTTGAGTCTTGCGGTAGGCTTTTTTGAAAGCATCCATGGCTTCTTTGCTTTTTCCACGAGCACAAGCAACGGCATTTTTTTCTTTGTCCTGAGTTAAAACTAAACTGGTAAAACTAAATCTTCGACCACCTTTGGTTACTTTTACTGGTCGGGTAGTTTTTAAAACCTCACGTAAATAAGCATGAGTATAACGCTCTCTTTCATACTCTTTTTTTTCTGACTTATCCGACCCTAAATCATGCTTTTTACCTTCTGGCTTAACCTCGCTAATTTTCTCCTTTTCGCCTTTGGCTAATTGGGGGTTTTCTCCTATAATATTAGTCTTTTCTTTTTCCATTAGAAGTTAATTGCTTGATCCCGCATTGCTTTACAAAACGCTTCACACTTGCCATGATAAAGACGAGCGTTGCGGTCGAAAATAATATTTTTTACTCCATCTTTCTTTAACTTATCAGCAAAAATTATTCCGAGTTTTTTGGCATACTCTTTATTCTTGCGAGAGTAATCACTTTTCTCCTTAAAATTTTCAGTAGAAGCAAAAGCAATAGTGTGACCTGCGATATCATCAATCGCTTGTACCCGTAAATAACGATTAGATACACACAAAACCACTCGTGGTCTTTCCATAGAACCTTTAATCAGATTGCTCCTTCTTTTTCTTATTTTCTGACAAGTTTTTTTGTCGACGATTTTCGTCATATATCTTATATTTTATAAATTTTTTCTTTTTTCTTGCTCGATTACTAAAAACCTTTTAGTTTTAGAACGAGGTCGGTCGCTTTTAATTTTTACTTTATCTCCTAATTGTAAAGGAAACTCAGTTTCCTCGTAATGAACTTTTTTAGTTTTTACAATCTTTTGAGGTTTAAAGTACTTAGAATGGATTTTAATCGAAACTAATTCCACAGTAGCAGTTTTGGGATTTTTTAGTGCCACTACCGTTCCAGTAAATACTTGATTCATATATTATTTATTTTTATTATTTTTTCGCTTCTTCAAATAAATTTCAATTCCAAAAATGCCCAATAAAATAACTCCTCCTCCGATTCCTAGTATTCATGGTCAGGGACTGCTGCTTGAAGAATTAATTTCGTGGTTTTGGAGTGGTGCAGGTGAAATTAATTGTTTTAACTCTTCACTAACTCGGGCAAGTTCTGACTTTTTTTTAGTCAAGTTTACCTTATAGGTATCATTACTAGGCTCGTGGCTTAACTTAGTTTCCAACTCGGCAATTTCTGATTCCAATTGTTTAATTTGAGTTTCTTTTTCGATCAATGACTCTTTCAATTTTTGGCAACCAGCACATTTTTTCTTTTCAATATCGGCCAAAACTCGCCTTTTAACATTCTCTATTTCG